CTTTTTATTTTGTTCAATTTTCTATGTTTTTCTATTTATTTCATGGAAATTTGGTGTCTTTCTATATATTCTCTAAACCAAATACTCTAGGTTGTTTCAATTTAAAGTGAATAAAGAGTAAATTTAGCTAAAATTTGTAAAGCGGTCACTGAACACTCAAACTCTGCTTCTTCTCAGGAAGATATAAAACGAGAATGATGATCGGCAACGAATTCATGGTCTGTGGTATCAATAACTCTCTCTTCGATGCCCCCCATTGAATTGCAAATGTTGAGTCAGAAATTCAGTAGTCACGATTGAAATAAAACAAAGAAATAGAACTTGATGTGTGAACAATGGAATCATGATTGGCGGATTAAAATAAAAGAGCTCAATACCTCTGCTGGAATCTCTCTCGTCGACTTTAAATTTGACCTTGTGAATCCCGTGTGGTATACGCAACGATTCTCTTTCTTTCATAAGTACGTTCAAATGGGAACCTGCAGTGAACATTTCATTCATGCTCAACTGACAAGAAAAATCATTGTTGAATTCTATCAAATCATGTTTTTTTAATGACTAAGCTGTAAAAAAACATTGTGAATTATTTTAAGTATCCACATTTTCCAAAAACGTTACGTTAATTGAATTCAAAGTCAAGCTTCAACTTTGGAATCAGAATATCAACGTTAGTATTTTCCATTTGATGGCAAATATGATTGAAGCTTCATACCTTCATCTTTGCTTCTAATGCAGGCAACCTGGTGCGAACAATCGACGAGTACTGTCACACAATCTCAAAATGATGGAACTAATATCCGCCATCTATTATTCCACCGGTCAAATCAATTTAATTCTTCAAATGCAAAACTTTTTTGCCAATAAAAGAAGTGTATTGGCTATGTAATTCAAATATATATAATATATCTCGATCGGCATAAGAATCTATGTATTTTTTTTTGTTAAACACATGAATTATAATATCGTGTGGTTTATTTGTGTCGCAGTGGTTTTATTGGCGAGAAAAATATAAAAAAAAAATGATAAAGCATCCCTAGTTTTGTTGATTTTTCAAAATGGACTGTGTTTATATGTATTTGCTCCGCTACTCTCTGCATTCTTGAGACTCTCATCGAATTTTTGTACACCACATGAAATGTATTTTCAATCAAAGTTAGTTGGCATTTATTTATCAGTAAAATTCGTTCCTTTCAAAAACACTATGGATATAAACCATAATACAAAACGAAACATGTGTAAATTAGAAAAAAAACTCATTTTTTCGTGAGATTGAGAGTATTCTATACACTGAGAAAAAATTACCTGATAAAATAACAGATGGCGTTTCTAAATGGTTAGTTTCCAAACTTTTTTATATGGAGGTTGCGAATTGTCCAACTTTTTCGGTAATATCGTATTGCAGAAAAAGTTTGACAATTCACAACTTCCATATAAAAAAAAAATTGGAAACTTACCATTTACAAACGCCATCTGTTATTTTTCCAGAAAAGTTTTTCTCAGTGTATATTTAATAAATTATTGCAGGATTTTCTCAACGTTTTAAAACATACACTCCTTTTCCAAAACAAAGTCTATGAATCATACACCACTCTCCATCTCATAGATTTGATAGATCAAACAACGGAATCCATTTTTCTCGATAAAATAATGAAAATTATCATATAACTGATTGGATTAATGTGACAAAGAAACTAAATGTTCTTTCCAAATTGGAAGAGTCATTCGGGATCTGAAATATAGCTTAAGACTTGAATCTATGAACATGATCAATGCCTCGGATGGCAGCAAGACCGAGAACAACTTAAATGACAACTGTAGCGACACGAGCGCCCTCAATTTCAATAGGCAAATCAATGTAATTTCGGAATTTTTTTCCGAACTAAACAGCGCGACAATTTGAATTTTCTTGATGCTGCCACCCTATGGATCAATGCGAGACAGGCTTAAACAGACAAATTCACCTTCAACAGTATACTTTTTTAGAACAAAAATGTTTCATTTCCAGAATCTGAAGAAGAATAGTGTGTATTCGAATATTTTTGAAATACTTTTTATTTGTTATTATCTCTTTCCTCTTCACATTTTTCATACAATTTATAACTGTTTAAACATTCCGCGGAGTCTTCTTGAAGAGCAAAAAATTACTCAAAATTTGTAATGCGGCCACTAAAAACAGGAGTTCTTGTTCTCTCATGCAAAATGAAAAAAATGAATGGATAATCAGCTATAAACTGGGGATCCTCAGCACCAACTATTCGATCTATTAAGAAACCTAGAAAAAAGAAAGATTTTTTCTTCATAACATTTGAATTCACATCGAAAAAATGTTATAAATAAAAATTGCATTTGAGAACACACCTGAAGCAGCACCCGACTCAGAACCTCCCTCGTTTACTTCAATAAATGCCTTATGAATGGTATCGGATACGCGTAACGGTTCTCCTTCTTCTAAGAGTCCGCTCAATTTGGAATCTTGAGTGAACATTTCATTCATTCCCAACTAGAAGAAAATCGTTGCTCATTTTGCTGTCAAAAGTGATGGTCACATACATACATTTTTCAGCACATCATTCAATTGCGTTTCATATTGAATCTTGAATTTTGGAATGCGAACGCGAACATTTAGATGATTCATTTCTTCGTATAACTTGTCAAAGTCATAACCTCTCATCTCTGTTTCTAGTAGATGCAATCCATTGCGATTAATTGGCAAAATCATTAGCATTACGAAGGAAGATCTGACATATTTCATTTCGAGTGCCAAGGCATCCAAATCACGCACATAACCCGAATAGAGATTTATGTTTGGGAAATACATGAAATCCGTCTGAACCTCTTGCCAGCCATAATTGTAAAATGTTCGTTTCTCGGTGAGCTTTTCGTCGAATTTGTACAGCCAATTGCCTTTGAAATAAATGGCATTGATTAAAACCACACGAGAATCATAATTAAACAGGTCTGGCTTAACCAATTCCTTGATAAGGCCATTTGTTTCCTCTTCCACGAAGTGATTGATTGTTCCGGCAGCCTCTTCTTTGTTCGTAAAATTCACTGATTCAATGCCTGAATGAAAGTCATGAGTGGCCACATCCCGCAGAGTCTTGTTTACTTTGTAGCCTTGTTGAATGTAAATTCGATTGGCAATCGAGAGAGTCACATTCCCAGCATCGCTTTGCAACAAGTCATAATATAAACGAAAATCGTTGGCTATCACTGTTTTATTTACTCTCTTATCATCTTCTATATGAAATCCTCTTGTCAATTCAATATACGTATTCGTATTTTCATTCGCTGCCTGTGACAATAGTGCAATCGCATTTGCCACGGAGAACGGTGATATTATCACATTGCTATTGGTGGTTTTCACACATTCCTAATGAAAAAAAAAACAAATTTTAAAAGGATTTTTTCTTTTGGCAAAGAATAAATTTTGATACAAAAGGTTTTGACATACGAAGTATAAATCCGATGAAAATTTTGTAGCTCCCATATACCCATATACCACCGTATTTGATAACACAATCAAGCAAATGACAAATGCAAGCGTCAAGCGTGCCACTGAAAAAAAGAAACAAATAATAATTTTTTGTGCTTCTGTTAAATGTAATGAAACTGCCATACTTTCGTCGAATACTTTTAAATTCCTTGTAACATTTGATACAGAGAGATCGACTCTCCCATACAACTCAAGGCACACACTGAGGTAGCTGCAACAGCGTCTGTATGTTTTTATATAAGTTGAAGTTATGTGATAAGAAAAAAGAACGACAAGAATATCCTGATTACAGGCTGGAATTCCCGAATTGACAAATTTCCAAAAAATGCACCAAAAAGTCCATGTTATTGAGTTAACGTACCCCTTTTTTCTTCATCGAACCATAGAATGAACGAAAAAAATTAAACATTTTGATGGACTTGTGCTATTTGCTAGAAAGTGAAGTGCATGTATTTTCTCAGCATAAAAGAGCCATATTAAAATGAAATTTCGTTCAAATCTATGTATTGTAGTCAAAGAATTGTCGAAAAAATCGTATTTTTTCAATTTTTCTGCGTTTTTGGGTTTCTGCAAAAAAAAAAATCTGCATTTTTTCTTTCTGCAATTTTTTTTCTGCGTTTTTAGGTTTCTGCATTTTTTTTCTGCATTCGATACCGGATTCATTTAGAATACCATTGAATCGTTACACTGAATTCTCGCGACTGCAGACGATACGCTTGTCTTTCCGGCTATAAAGTTGAATGTGAAATAATGTGTTTTCGGCTACTTCAAAAGTTTTTTCATGTTTATATTCATTAAAGGTAAACTGGTTTAAGAGTTTGGTTTGCGATTTTGCGAAATATAGACACAACACTGATGAGATATACCACATTTATAATCACAACGTGTGTGTGTGTTTTTCTCTCAGACGGCAAGTCAAATAATTTGACTCTTGCTCTTTTTTATCAATTGAATGTTGCGAAATATGGCATTCGCACGAATATCAGAATATGTAAACACCGAC